GGGGGGGGGGGGGGGGTGTTCTTCCTGAAGTCCACTGTCAAATTAATCAATTAGCTTAAATTATTCTGCATTCATTTTGATTATTGATTAAATTTAAAACCTTTTTAAATTAATTGCACATTGACTGTTGACTGCTGTACATGCTGCTCCCATGCAGCATACATTTTCTTATTATATTCTTATATATTTTTATTGTATTGCTGCATTTGCTGCTTAAAGTGCCTTAGATTAGGTTATTTATTTATCTACTTTATATTTCATTTGTATTTTGTGGCATTCATGTGGACAGCAAAGTAAGAACTGTGCATATGACAAACACTTTGAACTTTGACCTCGACCTTTTTCTAGCTGCAATGACAATTTAGTGATTTTCTCAAAGGTAAATCAAATATACAGTAGGCAAATGTACTGTATCTCCTAGTTGTAGTATTACCTAGTACTACAATCTACTAGTCAAGAGTTCAATTTGACTTGAGTGTGTAACCATATATGGCATGATAGAATTGTTTCTCTCTCTACCTATCTGTTACTAGCTCAGTGTACTATACAGAGTGTGTGTGTGTGTGTGTGTGTGTGTCTGCCTGCCTGCTTGCCTTGTGTTTAATAAGGATAATCACCTTTATTTGGCCAAGTATGTTACACGCACGCAAGGAATTTGTTTTCGGTACAGAACCAAGGCAGCCATCTGTGGTGCCAACTCACACTGATGGTCCTAACCATTGGGGGCAACTTGAGGGTTCAGTGTCTTGCCCAAGGACACTTCAACATGTGGACTGCAGGCACTGAGATTCAAACCTCCAACCCTCCGGTTGGGAGACAACCGCTCTATCCACTGAGTCACAGTCCACTAAGTCACATTCACCCCGAAATCCCCCGTACCAGTCCTGCATGTACTGACATGTGTTCCATTAATTACACTGTACTGTATGTGCCACTACCTATGAATAAGCTTCTCAGCATCCTGCTGCTGATTTGCTTCTGTATGGCTGTGCTACTTGGGTTCTGTACATGACTGTTTATGGAGTTAAGTTCTTAAGTCACACCTATTCTTTTTGCTCTTGATGGTCATGTATGGTCTTGTTGCTTTTTCCAGAACAGGACACCAACAGTACAGGGGTCACTCCACAACGGCCAGCCCCCAAACTGCATGAACCCTGCCTTGATGAACACACCCTGGGTGAGAGATTCAAGATTCAAAGTGTGTATTGTCATATGCACCGTTAGAATTGAATTCTTACAATGAAATTCTTACTTTGCCGTCCACCCTGAATACCAAACATCACAAGTGAAATATGAAGTGGATAAACAGTAGCACAAAATCTAAAGGCACTTTAAACAGCGAATGAAAAGAAATATAAGTATATAAAAATATAATGAAAACACACTAGGAGATAATGTATGCTGCATCGGAGCTGTATGTGCAATAGTAAGCATTTGGTGTGCAACTATGCATGTGCAGTGATGCATCTGCAACTGAGCATGTAAACAGTACAGGTGGAATTACATGAAGTAACCCCCATTTATAAACTCCCGTCAGCTGTTTTGGAGTCTGATGGCAGTTGGAAAGAGAGTTTTTCAGTCTAGAAGTCCTGCATTTCACACCTTTGAGCACTTTTGGGGGGGGTATAGTTTCACCCTATCCACATTACATACAGTATCATGATGACCTGTGCAGTATTTTGTGGACGGGATATGTCATATACTGTATCTGAATATTCTGTAACATGTGATGGGAAACTTAATGTCTAATTCCTTGTGCCTAGAGCTCACCCTGTGTCCACTGGGTCACCACCACTCACTTCACCGTCTCTGTTTTCACTGTTTTTACTGTTCATTATACTGTACAGGTCACCCTTTGGTTTCCATGTTAACCATGAATCAGTTTCAAGATATTACAGAAATAACATTTTCAGGCAGGTTTTAGTACTGGATTAATTACATACTTTACTGAATAATATGACCTAATCAATAATGCTGTTTGTAAACAAAGTAGGGTTATAGAAATTGGTATGTCTACTGAATCGTAGAAAACTAATCCACTGTGTTAGTTTAATTTGTCACATCATATATTCAGTCTTTGGTAGCTATTCAGCAGAAGTTTATGTTTTTCTCAGATGATAGCAGTTTAACCGTATCTGCTAAACACCAACATCACTTCAGACTGTAACAGTCTTTTATTAGAACAAGCAACAGCAAATAAGTTGACTACAGGATATGATCAGTCAGTGGTGCAGGCTACTATGTTAAATTTTGATCAGCAGAACAGTCATGTAGCCATAAATTCACCACTTTAAACTAGTTTAAACTGTTACTGTCACTCAAATACGAAGAAATGCATACACAAAAACATTTTTCTAGCTCTGCAGTGTTCTTAAAGTTGCCTGGTTCAACTCCAATATACAGTGCCTTGCGAAAGTATTCAGCCCCCTTGAACTTTGCGACCTTTTGCCACATTTCAGGCTTCAAACATAAAGATATAAAACTGTAATTTTTTGTGAAGAATCAACAACAAGTGGGACACAACCATGAAGTGGAACGAAATTTATTGGATATTTCAAACTTTTTTAACAAATAAAAAACTGAAAAACTGGGCGTGCAAAATTATTCAGCCCCCTTAAGTTAATACTTTGTAGCACCACCTTTTGCTGCGATTACAGCTGTAAGTCGCTTGGGGTATGTCTCTATCAGTTTTGCACATCAAGAGACTTAAATTTTGCCCATTCCTCCTTGCAAAACAGCTCAAGCTCAGTGAGGTTGGATGGAGAGCATTTGTGAACAGCAGTGAGGATCTCTGAATGATCCAATGTTGACCTAAATGACTAATGATGATAAATAGAATCCACCTGTGTGTAATCAAGTCTCCGTATAAATGCACCTGCACTGTGATAGTCTCAGAGGTCTGTTTAAAGCGCAGAGAGCATCATGAAGAACAAGGAACACACCAGGCAGGTCCGAGATACTGTTGTGGAGAAGTTTAAAGCCGGATTTGGATACAAAAAGATTTCCCAAGCTTTAAACATCCCAAGGAGCACTGTGCAAGCGATAATATTGAAATGGAAGGAGTATCAGACCACTGCAAATCTACCAAGACCTGGCCGTCCCTCTAAACTTTCAGCTCATACAAGGAGAAGACTGATCAGAGATGCAGCCAAGAGGCCCATGATCACTCTGGATGAACTGCAGAGATCTACAGCTGAGGTGGGAGACTCTGTCCATAGGACAACAATCAGTCGTATACTGCACAAATCTGGCCTTTATGGAAGAGTGGCAAGAAGAAAGCCATTTCTTAAAGATATCCATAAAAAGTGTCGTTTAAAGTTTGCCACAAGCCACCTGGGAGACACACCAAACATGTGGAAGAAGGTGCTCTGGTCAGATGAAACCAAAATCGAACTTTTTGGCAACAATGCAAAACGTTATGTTTGGCGTAAAAGCAACACAGCTCATCACCCTGAACACACCATCCCCACTGTCAAACATGGTGGTGGCAGCATCATGGTTTGGGCCTGCTTTTCTTCAGCAGGGACCGGGAAGATGGTTAAAATTGATGGGAAGATGGATGGAGCCAAATACAGGACCATTCTGGAAGGAAACCTGATGGAGTCTGCAAAAGACCTGAGACTGGGACGGAGCTTTGTCTTCCAACAAGACAATGATCCAAAACATAAAGCAAAATCTACAATGGAATGGTTCACACATAAACATATCCAGGTGTTAGAATGGCCAAGTCAAAGTCCAGACCTGAATCCAATCGAGAATCTGTGGACAGAACTGAAAACTGCTGTTCACAAATGCTCTCCATCCAACCTCACTGAGCTCGAGCTGTTTTGCAAGGAGGAATGGGCAAAATTTAAGTCTCTTGATGTGCAAAACTGATAGAGACATACCCCAAGTGACTTACAGCTGTAATCGCAGCAAAAGGTGGCGCTACAAAGTATTAACTTAAGGGGGCTGAATAATTTTGCACGCCCAATTTTTCAGTTTTTTATTTGTTAAAAAAGTTTGAAATATCCAATAAATTTCGTTCCACTTCATGATTGTGTCCCACTTGTTGTTGATTCTTCACAAAAAATTACAGTTTTATATCTTTATGTTTGAAGCCTGAAATGTGGCAAAAGGTCGCAAAGTTCAAGGGGGCCGAATACTTTCGCAAGGCACTGTATATATGCAGAAAATTCAATTTTAAATAACCTTACTGTGAACCTTCTCTTGCCTCATAGTTCGGTCAAGTGTTTAAATACTATACTGTATTGTCTTTACTTGTCAGATTTTATTAATCACCTTTATTATTTTCAAAGTGCAAATATTCAAGCATTTTAGAATAACTGCACCAAGAAAAGAAAAGATTCAAAATGATGATATGAATATGATTTTGATTGATTGATTGATTGATTTTATTCTTTCAAACATGCAGAACAGAACAAATGAACAATTTGTAAATATAATGTGGATACAGTATTGTACGTTCTGTCATGAGAACTTGGACTATTGGACCATGTCTGTCTTTCTTTCTCTCTTTCTGCTCTCAGCAGTACCACTACCAAGAAGACGCCTCGCCACCTCTTGACCAGGGATTCCCATGCCTCACCAACGAGGTGTGCACCCCTGAGCTTGTGCACGTGTCCGAGAAGAACTTGTCTGAGATTGAGAATGTGCACGGCTATGTGTCCCATTCCCACATCTCTCCTCTCAAGGTCAGCCCCCAACCTCTTAACTCGTCATAGAAAACATTGCACTCCAACCCTCATCACAGTTCAGCATCATGAACGACTGCCAACATGACCTCTTCCTCCTCCATTTCAGGTTATAGCTCATATGTGGCCACAGACTGCTTAATATGTGTGTAGCATAAGTAATAAAACTTCATACTAGTTTTTTTGTTTGTTTTGTTTTGTTACGTGTATTTGTGGAAAGTATTAAACAACTTGTAGGGTTTATGACATGGCTGATGGTTAATAATGAGAACCAGGATGAAACACAAAACACCCAGATAAATTATAGAACACATAATTTCCTTTGTGTGCTTAGCATAAATTTGGGAATTAACTGTTGATTAGGGTTGAATTTAGGTCATTTGTGAGAGTATTTGTGTTTGATGCAACACTATGACAACTTTGCTAAGGCTAGCTCTGAAGTGTTTTCTCCTCCTTTGTAGTTTTTGTTTTTCTTTTCCTTTCTGTAGCGGTGCTTTCCTGATTCTCACAAGCACTAGTTGGTGGTGGCAGTAATCTGGATGTCAGTTTGTAGTTTTTCTTTACCATTTCTTCCACAAAGTTTCACTGCCTTGTCTGATGTGAAGCTCCAGTGTATGTCCTGACCTGGACTCCGGTATCTAACATCTCAGGATGTTTTTAATTTTCAGCCTGTGAAATAACCTGGGTCAGTAACACATTTGCTGTAGGATCAGAGGCAGTTCATCTGACAGATGGTTTTTGTTGTGCTTCTGCTCAGGTTTGATCCAGCAGAGGGCAGTGTTGGAACTGAAGACAAGCTTCATTGTGTCTGCAGCAGTAGTAGGGGGCTGCTTGAAACCCCGGTTCAAACCATCTGTTGTGTCAGTGAATGGAGAATGAATTACCTGCTTATTTTTTTTTTGTTTTAGTTCACAGAAGCACTAGTATAGCACTGAGAAGTGCTTGCTGAATGATTTGAGTCTAGTTCATACAGGAATTGACTGATAATTACTACTACTATGGATAATATGAAGTGTTGTGATGACATTAAAATCCTCAGGGCAGAATATATTGAACATACAGAAATGTCATAAACAACATTATCAGTGGTCAGACGGGCATGAATTTGTGTTGTTGGAATATAAATACTGCAAGATATGGATCTGATCTTATGTGACACATATGCAGCAAAGTAATTATTCCTTATGTAATTATTTAGTGGAACTATTGTTGAAGGTAGTACATTAACTGTGAAGAAGATGTTTTTATGGTTCTTAGGTTAGACCTGTAATATACAAAATACAACTGGTGGAGACATGACAGGCATGGAGAGACAGGGAATCTAGACAACAGAAAAGCAGGAAACACTGACGCAAACCATAACAAGCAGAACATTATTTGATGACACCATCAATTATTAGTTCAAAATAATAATTTCATTTCTGATGCAACACATTTCAAAAATAGTTGGGACAGTAAAGCATTTACCATGGTGTGATGCTGCCGCTCCTTTTCATAGCACTTAAAGGGACTGAGGACACCAAGTGATTCAGTGTGTCAGGTGTCCTTTTGTCCCATTCTTCCTGCAAATAAGTCTTAAGGTGCACAATAGTCCTGGGTCTTTGTTGATGCAATTTGTGTTCCAAAATGCTCAACACATTCTCTATTGGGGACAGGTGGGGACTGCAGACAGGCCAGTCCAACACTCACACCCTTCTCCTCCACAGCCAGGCCTTGGTAATGCATTGTCTTGTTGAAATATGCATGGACGTCCCTGGATGTCATCTTGAAGGCAGCAGATGTTGCTCCAACATCTCTATGTATTGTTCAGCATTAATTGAGCCATCACAGAAGTGTAAGTGACCTTTGTCCAGGGCACTGACACAATCCCAGACCATGACAGACCCTGGCTTATGGACTTGTTGCTGCTAACAGTCTGGATGGTCCTTTTCGTCTTTGGTCTGGAGCACACGGCCTCATTCCTTTCAAAAAAGACCCGAAACACTGATTTGTTTGACCACAGTACACGCTTCCACTGTGTGATGGTCCATCCCAGATGCCTCTGAGCCCAAAGCAGTTGACTGAGCTTCTAGACACTGTTGACATAGGACGTCCTTTTGGCACAGTCCAGTTATAAGCAGCAGTTATGGATGTTTATATAAGATATTGTTGTCTTCTTATTCTGCACAATTTCATTCCATTTCATCCCATTGCATTACTATTCTATAAGCTTATTGCACTTTATCCATTATTTGTCATGTATATTGTACATTACCCTACATGTCTAACTGTAAATAGCAATTGTACATATCTATTGGTAAATTAATTCTGAGTGTACATACTGTAGATACTGCACTCTCTGCACTGCTGTTATTGCACTTCTGGTTAGAAGCTAAACTGTATTTCGTTGCCTTGTTCAAGATTCAAAGTGCTTATTTGTCATATGCACAGTATGGAAACATGTTTGCCTGTACAATGAAATTCTTACTTTGCCGTCCACATGAATACTAAACAACACAAATGAAATATAAAGTAGATAAACAGTAGCACAAAGTCTAAAGGCACTTTAAACAGCAAGTGAAAAAACAAAAGTATATAAAAATATAATGAAAACACGCTAGGAGATAATGTATGCTGCATCAGAACTGTATGTGGCTTGTACATGGGTAATGTCATGGCTAGAGTGTGATGCCGACTAAATTAATTCAGACAAACCATCCCAATTTAAGTAATCATTTAATATTACAATTATTCTGAATAGAGGAATAGTGAAACAGATAATCTGATAGTTAGGGAACAGAGACCAGAGTCACTCCTCCTGCCATGAGATAAAGTATTAAATAAGAAGCTTGTCAAAAGCGCCTGTCAGTCCAGTCAGTTGTTGTTGTTCACGAGGTACCGTCAGTCAGAGTTCATAGTCCTGAGTTCATTTCCCCACCCAGGCCTGGGTCCCCGGAACACTTTTCACAGTAGCATTGTCATCCTTTCTTCTTCTTCCTAACCCCTTCAGGCTCATTCTTTTATCTGCAGCTTTCCTTTCATTGTTTTGCCTCATTACTGGCCCTGCAACCAACCCAACTTTTTTGGAATGTGTTGCAGCATCAGAATTGAAGTGAACAAAGAATAAAGCTGATGAGGTGTCACATCAAATAATGTGCTGCTTTGTTGTTTTCAATGTAATACAGGACTCAGATGATTTTCACATCACCGTTTTCAGTTTTAATTTTTTAATACCATCCCAACTTTTTCTGATTTGGGGTTGTACAGTATAAATATATGTTGCAGTGTCTGAGGAGATTCTCAGTCATGCTGTATCCAAAAGTGCTATAGGTGGAAACTATATGTGCCAGTGTTAGCCTGCATTCAAAATATCTGACATCTGACCTAGTGTCACACATTGTAAACAGTTATAATAAACAGTGGTAATAAACCAGTGGAGGAATGCCAGATGTCACACTGATGATCTTCATACTGATGTCCCAAACCTAATACAGCCAGTGTTTATCTAAATATGGCTCAAACAACCTTAAACCAGTCTTTGGCTTTGTTATGAGTAGCGTAGAGTAGGTACTTTATTGATCCCACAGTGGGGAAATTTCTGTGTTACAGCAGCAATAGAGAACAACCAACATAACACCATAAGAACAGACACCACTTATTAACATTATGTATAATGTTACGGTTGCTCTCTCACCAAGAAAGGAAATAAGCTGGAACCAAACTGCAGAGAAACAGTTATGGACATTGGTTTTATTACAGAATGTTCACAGCAGAATAAATGGAGACTGAAGCCAATTGTGGCAGACGGAGGATGGCGAACAGCCAGAACAGGGGGGGCTGTGACAGGAGCTTGAGCTGAGAATGCAGCAGATGAGAGGCCAGGCAGAGGGGTGCCATTTGGGTGAGCCGCTGCATGGAATCTTGTGGATGTGAGCTGAGGCTGGAGCTTGTGCTGGAGAAAGCAGCAGAGTAGCCCAGGAAGACAGAGACTGGCTAGGAATCACACAGGGAAAACGCTTGGTTGAGTAACGTAGGCAGACAAAAAGGAACAGTCTTACTTGAGCTTCAGTTAGTAGAAATCACATGTAGAACAGGTAATCACGGTCTGCTTACAGAGCCAAGGTTCGTGGTCAGATGTGTACAACAAACTGGCGTTGATAGAGAGTGGCTGATTCTTAAGCAGCAGCGCTTGTACTGAGGAGATGTTCTACAGCTGAGCTTGTAATCAGGGAATTAACAGCTGTAAGTCACTCCTGGAAGCCTGGAGCTGAGGAGAGGTTGAGAGAGAGAGAGAGAGAGAGAGGGAGAAAGAGAGACATGTAGCGGCAACAAACCTGACATATAATTTTTTGTTTGTTTAAGAAAACAGTTTACAGTATAACTTTAAAGCAGCTGCTGTCTGTGTATCTTTAGGATTGATTATGCAAAATTGATATTTTCTGGCATGGTTTGATATTTTAGTGTTGTGTTCATATCACTTTGATGACAAATTGTGAACCCAAATTGTTGAATCAGTTTTTTCCCCCTTTACTTATTTGTGCTTTAGAAATCAACTTGAGTCTCTCATTAGTGCAATGATAATCAGTGAATTTGAGTTTGACCAGGTGCAGTTAGTCTGTGATGGGAATATCGCCCACTGGGTAAGAGGTTCTTCCTTATTGACAGAAATAATGCAGGAAGTCAGTATGATCCAGTCCCCCTCATCCAATCCACACAGTCTTAACGCCTCTGACCATTCTTCCACTCTCCTTTCGTTCATTGTGTCACTAGGTAACCATTACTGATGCTTTTATATCCTGATGCATTTAGCCCCCTTCTGTCTCTCTCTCTCTATATATATGTGTGTGTGTGTGTGTGTGTGTGTATTTATATATATATATGTGTGTGTGTGTA